ATGAAAAAATAGTTCAATACAATTTCTTATTTTCTAATATAGTCTAACTGTTATTAACCATTCATGCCAAACATTCATACCTTGAAACAAAAAAAAACTAATTATTATTATTTTAAAATAGGAAAAAGGTAAAATACCGCCGTTAGTTGTCTCCTGCGTTTAGAAATTGTAGTTTATGAAATCTATTCTTTCTAGTTTGACAACTGTCACACCTGAAGTATTTTTTGAAATTATGATTAATTACGGCTAGTATTTACTTTTTACTTCTTTTAAAATTAAAACTAAGGAACCTCTATACTACTATTTACAAATACCGAAGTGATTCTATCACTTCGTACTACACTTTCTAACAGTGTCTATCTCACAATTATTAAATGTATCTACTACTCACAGTTCTGTCTGCAATTCAGATTTTCTGCAATTGATAGCAGACTGGAGACTGGGGCTCTGCGAATGTCACTATTTGATCCTGGTTCACGTTTCACACCGATTGTGTCGCAAGCTTGTACAATGGTTTCTGTACAAGATTGTTACCTTCATATACAAGTAGGTACAAGCATCATCCAATTTGCTTACTTAAACACCTTCTAAATAATATTACTTTAAACCGATTTTTATTTATTTTATACTTAAAACGATTACATTTTAGCAAGTCGAAAACCCAAAAGACAAAATTAGCCGTCACCTTCTTTTAAAACCGTCATTCCCCCTTCATGCTGTTTATATCTTTTTTTTTTTTTTTTAGTAACCACAACAAAACCCAATAAAAACTTCGAATGGTTTATATCATTAAAATTTCGTGTTTTAAGCTGGATATTTGGCTGAATTTAACTACTTTTACTCCATATATAACAACATTATTAATTTTACAAATATTTTAAATCAAACATTGAGTTTACTTGTAATTATTTTCCTTTATATGACACCAATCAAAATAATATTCCCAATTTGTGACAACTTTGTCGTTTGTATCGCTATCAAATGTGTGCTATATAGGGTGTTTTTTTATTATCTCCTATAACAATTTTTTTATATTATTATTATTATTATTTTTGTTATTATAATAGTTAAGACATATATTCTTTTCATTGCAACATATTAGACTGTTTTTAATCAAACTTTAGGTAGGCACTCAAAAAAATGTTTTCAATTAATGACTGTGCTTTTCTGAACTAAAAAAATAAATCCATGTAACAATTAAAGTTTCTGTTGATACAATTGGTTTAAAAAAAATAATAACGAAATTATAACATAAAATCAGCTCTAGATTTCTTGGTTCCATTCATTGAATAGCGTTTCTGGACACCATGTATAATGAACGCGAAAAAAGGTATTACAAAATTTGGTTTTGTTGTAGAGTTATTAAAAATATAATATTTTTAACAGTATAAAACTTAATAAATAAATTCCAGAAATAATACAGAAAATTCTAGGTAGAGTATAATAATAAAATTCAATTCAAAAACAGTTTTCAATGCATTTGTTATAACACATTTAAAACTTTTTCCATTTTTGATACATAAAGTGACATCTTTTGTAATCGCAGCGAGTGTCAAAATGATTAATTTTATGTAACCAGTTGTATAAAGTTGAACATTATGTAACTAGTTACAAGATGTTTATTATGTCACCAGTTGCGAAAAGAAAACTAATAAAATCAACATTTTCTCGTTTTAAAATCAATATACACTTTCCAAAATTGCTTCATTGCTCTTGAAAGTTTATATCGAGGTAAAATTGGCTAAAAAATGTATAGATTGATTGACTTACCTATAAGGAGAATCAATCCTAATTTGTTGAGCTTATCCTCCGGTATAATTTTCACTTTGTAGTATTGCGTTAGTCATACATCTCGGTACATTTTAAAGATTATGCAAACCAAACTGGCCCCTTACCCTGACTCATACATTCATTCCATTTTTTAATTGATTAAAATTAGAACGCTGATTAAGGGCAAAGCATGTGTAGGGGGTGGGCCGAATTATACCAGAGGATACACTCAACAAATTAGGATTGGTTTTTCTTATACACGAAAAAATAAATAAATTATTTACTTGAAAAAAATACAATTGTTATAGTTATTTTATTGACTATATCAAAAAATAAATCAATTACCATAAGTAAAAGTATGTTTATAAACACGTATTTATGTCATACGAATTATATCACCCCCTACTACAGGAGCCAATTGGAATATGCTGACAAGATGAAACTCTATGTAGGGGAAGGTGTCCTATAATGACATACTTTTTATAAAAAAAATTATGTTTTTTTTATATTGATTTATTTTAAAAATATTTTCACAGAAAGGCAAATAAAAATGAATAATCATTAAATTTCCTAAAGAAATACGTAATATAATGAAAAATAAATGGAACAGAGACCTAAAATATTATTAGTTGAACTATGTCATTTTAGACACTGAGGGTGTCCAAAATGACAGTATCAAAATATTAGTAAAAATTAATTGCATAAGTCACAAATAAATGTCTTTGATTTTGGAATTAAATCTGTACACTCCAAATGAGCCCACAACTGACACAGCATACACTGGATCTAAGTTTCCTTAGATTTTGATGCCCTAAATAACCCATTGCAATAGACGCAAGACGCATCATCTTGATAATCAGTCTCTTGAAAGGGTTCACTTTCTTTATCTGTCTCATCTTCAATTATTGCCTTGGGACTCTTTTTTGTAGTTTGATCACGCAAATTCGTATGTAATTTAGAACAATGTGCTTCTGACATGTTTTGTTCTTTAGAGTTGTCACAGGAAATCTTCTTTTTAATTATCCGTGCGTCAATTTTTGGTTTTTGCTTTGCTTGCTCTTCGTTTTTATATTTCAATTCCCCAAGATTCGAAGAACATGTTAAGACCGCGTACTTTTTTGTTACATTCCTTTTTATTGATTGGTATATTTCTTTTGGAGGTGGAGATATTTCTAAAAATGGCACCTTTGCGACTACTGTCTTGTCTTCTTCATTACTGTTGATTGGAAGTTCAGAAACGACATCTAGTTGATTTTCTTTTTCTGTTTGATTGTCATCGTGAAGCTGCTCCCCAACGGATTTAGTGTTTCAGCCTAAGTATCTTCTAGTGCAATATCAGTTGTGTCCGCTGGTATAAAAAGGTAATCGGGAAAAACGTTGGAATTAAATGGACTGATTCCTGTTTTAGCAAATCCGCTCAATGCATTTTGGATTGTGGCTGCTTTACTATACGCTTCAGAAAAGAGTTCACTCACTTGGTAAGCTGTAATAACACGACCTGGATGATTTTAAATCAATGTGGTACAAGCCTAATTGTAATATGCCTTTAGGGGTCCAAAAAAACTCACATTAAGCGGCTGCGGCTGGGAAGCACATGATAATGATGTTATTCACTCTACAAAATGACACAGCTGCTAAGGAGGTATGGCTTACATGACCATCAAGCAAAAGGAGTATTTTATTCTCCGGAGATGGATTAGCATATTTACAAAAATGTTTCAGCCATTGAACGAAGAGTTCCGAGTCCATCCAACCAGACTCTTGGCACAAACCTAAAGTTTCAGGAGGTGCTTTATCAAAAAGTTCATCTTTTTTTGTTTTTTCCTGAAAAGATCAAGGCTGGAGGAATATAGTTACATGTTGCACTCATGCAACACACAACAGTTACATGTTGGACTCTTTCTGCGCTTGTCAGGGATCCTACTTGTTTGCGCCCAATTGATGCCAATATTTTTGGAGGTTTCTGGACAGTAGGCAGTCCACTTTCACCCATATTGTAAATCTTCTCAACAGTGATAGATTTCTCTTGTAGAACAGAATCTAAAACCTCAAAAAATTTGGAAACTTGAGGCTTGTTAAAAGCTCGTGCCCTGGCTGCTGAAGTGGGTTCTGGTCATCGTAGAGATATTTCAGTATTTCTTCTGCGAAATCCTCTGAGCCACTCTTTTCCTGCGATTCCTTTTTTACGGTTAAATTTATGATCTAGTTTATTTTTTCCGCAAACTCATAAGCTAATTGTCTCACTTCGGTTGTGGTTAAACCAAACAGTCTAGATTCAAGATATTTTAGGTGTTTTACCAACTCTTTCTCTGTTTGGGAATCAAAAGTTATTGAAAATCGGCCCAGACTTTTCTCTACGTCTAAGAGTTGCTTGGAGAACGTTATAGACTTTAGATACTTTTAGCTATCCCATTCTCTTTTCTTGTACATCTTTTATAGCTTACTGCATAGATGCTTCATCACAGGACTCTCTATTAGTCTTTCTGACGTACCTTCCAACCATGGTCATCTGTAAAAAAAAAATTAAAAATCGAATTACAATTAATATAAATCATTGTACTAAAAAGACTAGAAATTGTACTGTACGTCGTATAAAATGACGTACTATGTCATTTTAACAACAACCACAATATGTCATTTTAAACGCAATGTTAAATTTTCAATATATAGATTATTATTAATAATGTTAAAGTTGCTATTAAAAAACTTACTTACCAATCAATTATTGTTCACTGTTCACCTATAACAATTAATGCCAACAATATTTAATACCACGAAGAATGATATAAAAACAACAATGTAAAATCCACGCATACAAAACTTCCTTCCACTGAAACCGTTAAATAAACCTGGAGATATCTGTAAACTTATAGTATATTTTAATAGAGTGTTTGTTACTTAGTACAGTTACCGAATCAGACATGCCGCTGCTAGTTTCCTATATAGAGCAAGTTTGTCATTTTAACAGCTATGTCATTTTAGGACACTTTCCCCTATCTCAATTTAATCTCACTCTTGCTTTTACAATAGTCTTGCAGCCAGTCAGTAATTAACATTCAAAGTATTCATATCGTATTTTAATATTGTCGGGGTTAATTGTAATTTATCAAATAAAATATTTTTTAAAAATAAATTTTTTGTTCTACTTGACATTTTTCGTACTACAGTTCAATCACTTGCATTCAATAAAATTATATAAATTTTTTCATTTTGTGCAAAACATTTTTTAGGCAAAAAGTTTTTGGGGTATAATAGCACCGAACGTTGAATACCCTAACAAAACTGAATTTATAACTTCACCACCTACTCAACTACTTGCCTCTGGTCACTATAACAAAGTTCCAATTATGCTAGGCTACAATATTAGAGAAGGAATGTTATTTGAGGCCATTAAGAATCAAAGGAAGGCTGCAGGGTTGGAAACTGATGATAAAGTTGATTTGGATTTGTTTATACATCCCCATCTCAATTTAAAGAAAGGTGACCCTAAAAGACAACTTATTACTAACAAATATGCCGATTTTTATTTTCAAGGAGAAAATGCTAAGGATAAAGTAATGGTAATTTCATATAGAGAGATATTGCAAATTTCTATAACGTCAGCCACTAATAGTGACAGCGTACTTAGAGGCAAATACATTTTATGCTAAAATAAGACTTATTGCAAACCTGAAGTTTTAACATTAAAGTCCTTCTCTTTATTTATATTTCTAACCTTATTTTAAAATTTTTAAATTACAGTTCAATTGTACATAATATGGAATAGGCATTAGATTTTAGCATTTTAGAAGGTGTAGACGATGATATTAAATATTTAATATTAAAAAAGTTCAAAGTGATACGAATATCATCGAGCGCCCCCGAAAGCTATAAAGTCGCCACTATCTGCTGCCCTTAAACATCCACAATAATTGAGGAAAGGTCAATCTTTAATAAAGTCAGTTCTAGAACGTAAACGATATACGCATGCTCAGATAAGCAGCACTAATAGTGACTGAATTTAAGTGAACTTGCAATAACTCTCTAATCGCTCTAATAATAATTTTCATAGATAGATTTGGATATTTGTCCTGGGAGTTTGGCAAATCACAATTTTCGTTAAATACATCATTTTTTTTTAGCTGATGACAGATTTTTTCTTTGTTGCTGGAATTATTGGATCTGCTCAACTACATGTCAGGACCTCCTTAACTCCAGTATATTTGTACAGAATGTCAATCGACGCGGGACTAAATATGTTCAAGAAAATTAACAGAGTTGATGAACCTGGTAAGTTAATTCTCTATGAAGAAGTTATTTCAACTTATACTAAATATAAACATATAGTCCAATAACTGAAGGGACCAACCTGTCATTAAGTCGATCCAGCTTTCCGTTGTGGCTCAACTCTTAGGTTTCGGCGGTCGCTTCCAAGGTCGAAAACTTTTACCAACTCTGCTGCGTCGGAACCTTAAACTGGTTTCCCGCCAATATCTTCCACAATATGCAAATTAGAGATTTTTTGTTTAGATAAAAAAGATAGATCTTATCATTATCTACAATGGTCCCTATCATTTTTGTCAGGAAGTCGACAGGTTTCGAGATAACCGCAATCAAAGGTCCCCTCGTTCAGCTTCTGCTTTACCTCTATAGCAATGCTGATAAGCTTGTAAACGGGTGGACAAATTGTTTCAGAACTCGGTCAAAAACTGATATTTTTCGATGATTCAAAGTTCATTACAACGGGAAAACCCATAGGTATCGATCCATGTGCCTTGAAGCCCGTTATTTCCTGTCAAGAACATTGAAAAAGGGGCCAAAGTTGCGTTTTCCCACTATTTTGGACCACTTTATAGTAATTCATTCATATTTTTTTTCTTTTAATAGTTTTTTATCCCATTTTTGTTTTAAATGGGATCTTGAGATGTCTCGAATGATCTCATAATTTGTTTTCCAGTATCTTCCTGGCGTTTTAAAACTAAATTGATTTGTTTATTTGCATTTTTCATACGTTTTCGGAGTTCTAGAAATCTTTGAAACAAGCAGTAATTAAAAACTCATATTTCATTATATTGTTATTCAATGCACACCATTTTAAAGCTTAGAGTGTCTACTTTTCGAATGTATTTGATTACACCGGGGAAAACCGGACTTTTTTTCAAATACTTAATAATAATAATAATAATAATAATAATAATAATAATAATAATAATAATAATAATAATAATAATAATAATAATAATAATAATAATAATAATAATAATAATAATAATAATAATAATAATAATAATAATAATAATAATAATAATAATAATAATAATAATAATAATAATAATAATAATAATAATAATAATAATAATAATAATAATAATAATAATAATAATAATAATAATAATAATAATAATAATAATAATAATAATAATAATAATAATAATAATAATAATAATAATAATAATAATAATAATAATAATAATAATAATAATAATAATAATAATAATAATAATAATAATAATAATAATAATAATAATAATAATAATAATAATAATAATAATAATAATAATAATAATAATAATAATAATAATAATAATAATAATAATAATAATAATAATAATAATAATAATAATAATAATAATAATAATAATAATAATAATAATAATAATAATAATAATAATAATAATAATAATAATAATAATAATAATAATAATAATAATAATAATAATAATAATAATAATAATAATAATAATAATAATAATAATAATAATAATAATAATAATAATAATAATAATAATAATAATAATAATAATAATAATAATAATAATAATAATAATAATAATAATAATAATAATAATAATAATAATAATAATAATAATAATAATAATAATAATAATAATAATAATAATAATAATAATAATAATAATAATAATAATAATAATAATAATAATAATAATAATAATAATAATAATAATAATAATAATAATAATAATAATAATAATAATAATAATAATAATAATAATAATAATAATAATAATAATAATAATAATAATAATAATAATAATAATAATAATAATAATAATAATAATAATAATAATAATAATAATAATAATAATAATAATAATAATAATAATAATAATAATAATAATAATAATAATAATAATAATAATAATAATAATAATAATAATAATAATAATAATAATAATAATAATAATAAAGGCATATCGATACCTTGGTGTCGATCAAAATCGTACCCAAGACACAGAAACGATTAAGACAACGCTCCGAAGCAAGTATAGACAGCGCCTCCGAAAAATATGGAAATCAGAGCTCTCCGGTATAAATAAGGTTGCAGCCACTAATACGCTTGCTGTACCTGTTCTGCTTTACTCCTTTGGTGTGCTGAAGTGGAGGCGCGACGAGTTGCGCGAACTGGACGTGAGCACACGAAAGATGATGCATATTAACCGCAGCATTCATCCACGCTCGTCGGTTTCCAGAATTTACCTCCCACGAGATCAGGGTGGAAGAGGCCTTCTAAACTTGGAGTGTCTGCATGACAGGCTGGTACTAAGAATGGCCTGCAAAATCATCAATAGTACGGATCCACTACTAAAACTTGTAAAAGATCACGAAGCAGCCAATGTCGGAGCATTTCTTTTTAAGGCAGCAGGAAAGGCGGCAGATAGATTAAATCTAGTACTAACATTAGATGCCGATAACGAACAGTCGCTTACTAGGCTGGAGTCGGAGGCTCTAAAGTCTCGAATTAAGAGAGCAGAAGAACAAGGGCTCTTTGAAGACCATCTCAACAAGCCGCAGCACGGAGTGTTCTATAGAAACATCCAAAATCTAAGGCTATCCAAAAGACTGACTTTCAACTTTCTAAAGTCTGCTGGCCTAAAATCTGAGACTGAAGGCTTTCTAATTGCTTGCCAGGATGGGGTAATTAATACTCTGGTATACCGTAGTCAGTTTTCTGAAGTTGTCGACGTAAGATGTAGAACCTGTCGCCAGCATCCCGAAACACTTATGCACTTATTGTCAGCTTGTCCTGTGCATGCTGTTTCTAGCTATATTTACCGGCACAACGCGGCTCTTCGGGTGCTACATTATCATCTGCGACATTTCTACGGTATGGATGAAACACCAGTGCTACCTTATGCTGCAGGGGACATTGAGAGAGTAGTGGAAAATGATAACTGCCGCATTTATTGGAATTACGCTTTTCCTACTACAACACGCCTTCAGGCGAATAAACCAGACATAGTCTTGCTGGATAAGCAGAAAAACTCAATGTACGTCATTGAGTTTTCCGCTCCGGCAGAAACAAACATCGAACTTAAGGAGAGGGAAAAGCGGGCCAAATATGTAGAACTGCTTGGCGAATTGCGCAGACTATATCCTGAGTACACCGTATATTTTGTAGTCCTTATAATTGGCGTTCTTGGAGGGACTAAGGACAATATCTTAATAGAGCTGAGGAAAATACCGGCATGCCGTGCATCGCTCGAACATCTAGTGATGAACATGCAAAAAGCCGTCGTTCTCGGTTCAATGCGTCTTTTGAGGCAAATGAGTTTGGCTGACGATCACTGACCGAGCGGACGCGAGGAGTGATCGTCTTCACGATAGGCCATCCGCGTAACGCCCTGTGGGGTCGGAGCCACAGGATACGTCACGTCGGAATTTCAACAAAATAATAATAATAATAATAATAATAATAATAATAATAATAATAATAATAATAATAATAATAATAATAAAGGTCTTTATTTTCCTTTCAAGTTACATAACTATTTACAAACATTATGAAAAAAAAAAAGCAATCGTAACAAAGCAAGAAAGGAAAAATGCCGAAGATCAGGTGACGATAATTTCAATGAAATCATCGCCTCTGTTTTTCATCTTAAGCAGTAGTAACAATGACTAAAATTAACTTAATTTCTAATTACTAAAAAAAAAACAAATAAAACAATTTCAATTAGCAATATCAGAAACATTAGAAAATAATATGAAGGAATATTTATTTTTTAGAATATTACCAAATATTACCAACTATTACCAAATAACGCGATAGACGATTAAAGATGAGTTACTACTCGTTTAAAAATGTATGTTTAAGTGATTTTTGAATGCGGGTGTAGATTTTAATTTTAATTCATTAGGTAAAGCGTTATATATTTTTGATATTTGGTATGTAAAGGAGCGTTTATATTTTTCTGTGCAGTGTGGGGAGCTGTTATTCTGTGCCTATATCGAGTATTTAGGAAATGCGTATCAGAACCGTATTTAACTTTATTATATAAATAAACAGGTAAGCGGTTTTTAATGACTTTATGGAATAGACAAGCAGCGTGAAGTAACCTTCGTTTTTCCATATTTAGCCAATTCAAAGTTTTTAATTTATGGGATATAGGTTGTCGTCTTCTAATTCCACAAATTAGACGAATACATGAGTTCTGCATGACCTGAATTCTCCTTTTGTCATCTGACCCAATACAGGGACCATAAAGGACATCTCCATAGTTGAATTTTGATAGAACCAACGAGTCACATAGATTTTTTTTTAACATTAAATGACAGGTAATGACGATTAATGTAGATTGTTTTTAAGTTAATGAAGGCATTACGAATACATATATTTATATGACTGCTAAATTTGAGCTGATTGTCCATGACTGTACCAAGGTTTTTGGCGCTGTTTACGGGTTTTATTTTATCACCCTCAAAATTTAATTTAATTGAGTCAGGACAAAATTTATTAGGGCCAAAGACAAGAACATTCGTTTTTTTTGAATTAATGCTAAGAGCATGTGTTTGTGCCCACATAGCTAAGTTTTTGAGATCTTGGTTGATAAGGTCAGTGGCATGTAAAATATTGTTTGGATGGAAAGAGCTATAAATTTGTGTATCGTCGGCATATAGGTGAGCCTTGCAAGATTTTAAGACTGTTCCGATATTTTTTGTATAGAGAGTAAATAGTATAGGTCCTAATATAGATCCCTGAGGAACTCCAGATCGTACCCTCATAGAATCAGAAATAATTTCATTAATTTTAACACGTTGGCTTCGATCACTTAAGTAACATTTTATCAGACCTACGGCATCAGGCGAAAATCCTATATAATGAAGTACGGCACACAGCAGGGAATGATTAAGGGTATCGAATGCTTTACTAAAGTCTATTAAGATTAAAACCGAAATGTTACCATCATCCCTAGTCTTTAAAATATCATCGGTTACGTTAAGAAGTGCAGTTTCACAGTTATGAGATGGTCTGAATCCTGACTGATATT